TGCATTTAGGCTCTCCTGTAGTACCTGATGAATACATGATATAGAGGGGGTGATTGAATGGAAGTTACCATAATACTTACTCCAGCAGAGTGAACCATGCATTTAGGCTCTCCTGTAGTACCTGATGAATACATGATATAGAGGGGGTGATTGAATGGAAGTCACCATAATACTTACTCCAGCAGAGTGAACCATACATTTAGGCTCTCCTGTAGTTCCTGATGAATACATGATATAGAGGGGGTGATTGAATGGAAGTTGCTCAAATGTAAGTGCCGGATATGAACCGTCATTTTGACAACCAGATTTCAAAAACTCAGACAGCAAGACACTGTAAAAAAAAATCATAGCTGATAAATAATAACAAACAAAATGCATATATAGTTCAATATATAATTTCTTGTATTGTTTTTGTACTGCTTCCTATAAAATAAAAAGTATATTAGCTATTACCACTATCAATAAATATGGTCCTTTATCCACTATTCTGTCCATAGCACTTTCCTTCCCTCCACTCTATATTTCTCCTTCCCACATAATTTCCCTTTCCTTCATATCCCTCTTGTCCATACCACCGTGACTCTCATTTCCTCTACACTTTTCCCGTTCACTGCACTCCACTCCGTTCATTTCCGCATTACTTCCATATCCATATTCCTCTTACAGTTATCTCCACACCCTCTTTCATCCACACGTACAACACTCTCCTCCCAGCCCCTATTTTACCAAACCATCTACCACACACTCCTCTTTCCTTGCACCACCTCATTCCTCTTATGTACACCACTTTTCCCAACACCCTTTTTCTCTGTCTACATTGCCTCATCTCCATACCGCTCCCACTTCACACCTTTTCTTTCACATACACCTTCTCCATACTACGATTCTCCAAACCCCTTCCCTCCATACTCTCACCTTGACATACTCTTCTCTTTAACCTTCCGTTACCCCTTCCTATATCCTTCTCTCATTAACTTACTTTAAACTTTACAAAGTTACAAAATACTAAACTGTATGCAACACTTGTAGTTATTTCCTCTCTTCTTTCAAATTATAACAACCACCTCAAACGGATTACTAAGAAATCAACTGGTTGAGTTTTACCAGTCAATGACCGGCAAATGTACTCTTGCAAGAGACGGGAAATCTCCAGTATTAAGTACAAAATAGTATCAAAGAATACGTATATTCAATTTCTAACCACAAAAATCCAGTCCTGAACTAGTTTATATAGGGAGCCTTCTATGATGAATTAAGAAAGTCACCAACCCACAGACCTGTTTGGTATATCAGGCATTTGAATGTCCTCTTCCTTTCCAACAAACGGGACGATGACAACTTTTTCAATGTTTGTCAGCTCATCCACGACACATTTCAGTTTGTCAAAATGATTATGTGTTTTGCCATTGTATACCACTGCGTTTACTGAGAATATTAACTTTGGCTGTATTTGACTGAATCTGCTGAGTACACCCTAAAAAAAATATCCAAAACCAAGCAAAAAAATTACAATACAAAATGTATAAACCAAAATGTATAAACCATTATCCTCATGATTACTACCAAATCTATAACACTATATTTGATAAAATCTGAAATGGAACCCCACTGAACTGCTCATCTACACAAACTAAATTAGGATAAAAAACTATCCACTTCCAATGCAACATATAAAAATATTATGTTTTTACCAATTAAACAATTAATACTTACAAAAATCTAAAAATTTATTTTGGTACAAATCATTTTTATTAGTCTATGTAAAGAATACAGAAAAGGTATTAATTATGAATCTGAAAGTATATTTTCTTAATATAATTTTTAATTGAAAGCTACTGAAAAATCTTATTAGTAGATGATACAATTCGATATGAC